AATTAAGAAAAAGTGAAGCATGATATTGGGGTTTTTACGAAAAATGAACAACTACATATGTTATTACACTAAATAATATTTTTATAATATTTCAAAGGTAATACAAAATAGATAATAAATTTAAAATAATTAAAACGCCGAACATTTGTTTTGCAAAGTTAAAGTGTTGCAAGTCCTTTTACTTATCAACAATGTTGACGCAACATTAGTTTTGTTTTTACCACAATGTTGCTGCAACAAAAAACACACAAAAAAAGACTCAAATAAAAATCACTCATTTTCCGCTTACTCCTCTCGTTCTCTATCCTTCGTTTTGTTTTGAGTGCTGTTTTGCTTTTGTTTGTTTTTTTTGTTTTGTTTTGGGTTCCGTTATAAAAGCGCCACGCTGCAGTTTTTTTTGTTGTTTTTCGTTTTTGCTTTTTACGCTCTTTGCCAATTTCTCATGTGTGTTTGCATGTCTTTGCATGTGTGTATGTGAGCGCAACTGTACCGGCGTCTTGTTTTCTTCTTCTATATCGTGTCTGAGCTTTTTGTTGTTTTTGCAGCTGCCATGTCTGCTTCTTCTTCGGCCTTTCCTCTTCTCCCCTCCTTTCCATACACCTTCATTTATTTTTATTTGTGTCTGCTTAACACCTTTTTGCGTACATCCTTCGGAATTCACATGCAAAATGTGTCAACACCAAAGAAAATGCAAAAAACAACAGCGAAGAAAGAGCAGAGAAGCTCGTAAATAAACGTCGACTCTTAGGGGTTAAACAATACCGACTCGATTTCTAACAGCAAAGATCACAAGTTATACGCAATGAAAACAATATAGCACAAAATAGTTATTTTTTAAAATGTAATTCATAAATATGGAAATCGCTAGCAATATCTCAAAGCAAAACTATTATTAAATTCAAGTTCTTTTAAATTCTACCCAAACTTATTCTGAAATTGCACTTAGTTAAAACATAGTTTATATTTTATTATTTTACACTATACAAAAATTACTTAGATTTCAATATAAATAGTAATGCTCGAACAATAAACCAGACCATGCTTAACGGTAATTCTCTTCTTACAATCGTGACCTTCGAATGGGGTTTACCTCTATAATTACGCCTATGAATCAGTTATGCCAAAATACTCGAGTCTTGAGCTCCTCAAATAATTTATAATTGAAGGTTTGCACAGGCGTTATCTTCTGATACGAAAGGCGTCTAAAAAGGTGGCGCCAAAAAGCGGTAATAATAAATAGATACACTTTGAAAAACTAAACGACCTGTATAATTTATAAAATATATGACTTATGATTTATGACATTATGATAATGACTTTTTAAACTATTTTATGATTAAGAAAAATTGTAGTAATAATAAATAAAAAGAGTTCTGGAAGGGTATTACATTTCGGCACAGTTTTAATTGAACAAAATACTAATTTAGTTCATTATATAAGATTCCGGGTATATTTTATGACTAACCTACTAACGATAACAAAATTATAAGAATTCGACTTTTTCTAATCAAAATTTGAGTTGAATTTTTCAGTAGTAGAAATCTCACTATAAAATATTGGCTGCTAAGAACAAATAAATAGATAGCGACATTGTTGCCAAAGGAAAACTTAGTGCGCAATGCAATTTACGATTATTCGCGTTATCAATGGGAGACAGTAGTTTCTGGCCTATGGGGAGCATAACTATAGCTCGGGGCCCCGACTTTATCGCATTCGAAATGCCATTACAACTACACCAGGAACACCTGTCGACGGCGTCTAAGTTACATACATTGTTGCTGCACGCGTAGACCGTTAAATATCAAGTCAAATGCCACTAAAAATAGAGATGGGGCGATATGCATTATAAATTACAATTAAAGTGAAGCATCAGTAAATAATATTCATTTCTAACATTTTTTTTACTAAAAGTATTTTTAAAGTCTACCAAAATTTATATTTATATAAATCACATTATTTTTTATGAAAATTTGTCTTTTTGATACGGTTATTCAATTTTGTTCGATAATATAACTCATATTTAAGCTATTATTTTTAACAATTAATGATGGTTTTCAACATCGTTTTCTTTAATTCAAAATGGTAAATATATTGAGTATTAAATATTATCATTTCTTTTTTGTATAGTATTGAAACTCTTTTTAAGCGATTTTTTGTATCTTTTTGTATAGATTTTTGTAATCGGCTGTATTGGTGCTATCTCTAATAATTTTTACGAGTATGATGCAAGTGAATTGCGCCGGTTACGTTACGTCAATTTTTTGAAAGCTCGGCAAATTCTTGTCAAACTTGATATGGAAACCCGGCAACCACTTGTTGCCATTATTTACGCAGTTGGCTTTCCTCCTTTTCCACACTTTCCATTTTTCCCCGAACGAAAACGGGGCAAAAATAAATATAACAAGAAAAAGCAGCACGCGCAAAAATTAATTGCGCAAAAATCGAACCACCCAAAATATTTCAAAATTTGTTGAAATCGAACTTTGACAACGGGAAAGTGCAGGGGCGAGAAAAAGCTCACAAAATGCGCGCCAATTTTTTGTTAGTGATGCAGTCGTACCCTGTAACGGTTGAATGGGAAAGGGTATTCCACATTAGTAGATAACATGAAACCAATTTGCAAATGGTTTTACTTAATATGAAAGGTAAAAACATTTTAATATTCCTGTTCAATTTCCAAACGTTTTTATGACAATTTTTTTTAGAAATAATAATAATGTATAACTTTTTGAATAAAAATAAATACATACACAAATACTTTTTTAGATCTTTATATTTCCTTAGCGTGATTATCTATTTTGATTAAAGGGTATGTCTTAGCCGAGCTTTCAGAGGCGTTTTTTTATTGCTGTGTCGCCGTGTTGCGAAATCAAAACAAAATCCAAAGCGTGCAAGGGTGCGATAGAGACGGCGAATGCACGCGCCAAAAAGTGCAATGGAAATAGGCGGGGAAAAACGGAAAAGGGGGAATGTTGTGGAAATGGAAATCAAAGCGAAACGTAACGAAATCAACGGAGTGGCGAAAGCGGGAAGAACTTTGCGTCGCAACCACCTGATGATTAAATCGGCGGAAAAGGGCGAAAAATTCAAGCAATCAGCGATTTTTGTTGGATATTGTATTTATCCATCTATATTGATAATATTTACCTATGTATGTGACTACAGCTGTGTATGCAAATATGTTCAAGGCAATAGTAGTATTTGCCCTAATAGAATTATAGAACAGGAACTCATAGTTTATAAACAGTTTTCACTTTAATACTTTTTAAGTTTCAAACACATGATTAATACTGCAAAATTAACTCGTTTACGTTAGTTCATAAGACGTGTGAAAATAAAATATACATTTTTTAATGTTAATAGTTTCTTAATTAATATTTTAATTGTACTTTTAAATTACTTGATTTCAATATATGTATGTATTACAAATTATTTTTGAAGAAAATGGTTTTATTACACTCTCCACAAAAATGTCCCAAAACGAATAATTTTTAGAGAATTGACCGCAAATTTAAAACAAATTCCGATTTTGATCATACATTGATGACAATCATTTGAAATTAAGTTGGATATTTATTTTTCTGAGTGAATTTAGTATTATTTTCTCATTCGAAATTCTGTTTTCCCGCGAAAGTTTTAGGGCAATATTGGAAGTTTTGTTGTTTTCTTTCCTTTTCATCATATCGTCCTCCTCCCCCTCCTTTTTCTCTTTTCAAAGTGTTTTGCCTTTTCTTTTAAAGTTTGCTTGGCATAATTTAATTAGACTTGAGGTAGGTTCACAGACACACTCTCACAAATAAATACACACTCGAAAAAAATGGTTTTTGTTTTTGGTTTTCATTGGTGTTAAAAGAAGTTCACAGTTCAATCAACTTGACAAAACAAATACAAAATAGGAGTTCGGTAAAAGAGCGAGTGAGAAAGTGCGATGGGTGACAAAGAGCTTAAATTACACACACGCACACCAAGAACTCAAGTAAATAGAAAAGGGAGAGGGCAATGGGGAGTAGAAGAAGCGGTAGAAAATGAAGTACAGGAAAAAGCTAAAAAAAAAAAAGCGGGAAAAAGGAGGTGGAAGAAAAACTATAAGAAGATTCTAAATAAATAAAAGCAACAAAGAAGAAGCCAAATAATAAGAAAAAATTAACAGAACAATGGCATTACTACGGAAATATCTTTTATTTCGAGAGTCTTTTTATGAATTGTAATTTTGCTGTTTTTAAAAATTAAACTTTCTTTTTGTCACCAGAGAATTATATTATCTCAGGATTTCGCAATATTATCTTTATTATATGAATTTGTTTGTATTTTACTCTTGTTTTGTTCTTATTTCTGAGTTTTAATGCTCTTGGTAACTACTTTTTACTTCAAATTATTCTTCTAATTTGGTTTGAATTTGTTCTAATTTAAATATGTATTACTATTTGTGTTTTTTTATAAAATTCTAATAAAACATTTGTTTTTTAGTTTTATTTTAATTCGTTAAATCTAACCTGCATTTCCTCAGTTTTAAATTTAACTGATTGTTTATGCTTAATACGTATGTACGTATTTCCCGGTCAAATTTAGAGTGAGAGATCTCGCTCAGCTCAGTTTTGGCTCAAATTATTTGTAAACACCACTCAGAGAGTGAGAAATCTACTCTCTTTCGCTCTCTTTCACTCTACCGGCAAATACCGGCAAGCTGAAGCACTCAAAAACGTGAGCGAGAGAGCGAGTCAATTACATTTTTTTGTTTCTATTTACGCAAATAAAATTAAATAGATATAAACAAATCGTGATGAAATAGCCAAATGTCATCGAAGAACTTTGTAGAACTTGCGTATTTACATTACGTTGCAAAATGCAATAAATTCGGAATTAAAAAGCTTTACAAACAGAGAAATACTCAAATGAGTGGAAGAGCGGGAGAGAGGAAAGAGAGCATTTTTCCGCGGGCTGGCTGAATTCAAAAAAAACTTATAAAAGCAACCGGCTTAACTGGTGGCTGACATTTGTGCGCCGCGTTTTCACCGATTTCTATCTGTCCTGTCTTCGCTTTGTGGATTTGGATTTTTGGCTGTTTTCCGCCCGACAAAAAACTATATAATATATATAGGCTATTCCACAAATAAAAACCGAACCCAAACGTTACTAAAACATATACTACACAATTAACAGGAAAATGTCACATAAAAGTTATCATAGTGCTAAAGTCGCAGAAATACCCCAAGATCCCTGAGCAAAAAAACCGCGCAAATATTGTATTCTTCGAATAGAAGAGGAACTTGTGAACTAAAACTATAAAAAAAAACAGCCAGTGCAAAAAATAAACGGGAAGAATTTTTTTTGGTGTCCCTTTTTTTGGTGGTTTTTTTTTCCCCGTTTTCCCCCAATTGACGCAATAAGTGCGCAACAACACTTGTGAGCAGGCGGAAACGGGATAGAAATGATATAGCCGACTGGAATCTAACTGAATTGGATTACAATTAATTGAATAGACGGATACAAACACATAAAACCGCTGTTCAAAGAGGTGAGTGCAAAGATATATGTATAGTACATTTTTAAGAAGTGCCCGGTGAAAATCAGGGAAGTTTCCAAGAACTTAAAAAGAAATTCGGGTGCAAAGTAAAAACACAAAACTTTTAACGGTAAACCCATATAATCACAAAATAGTCGCTCTTTTACGCATACCAACGACAATAATATAACTGAATCTAAAAGAACTAGCCTCGAAAAAAAAAATGAACACAGTGCTTAAAAAAAAATAAAAAAAATATTCTCAAGACAATATAAAATAAATATTTGTTCTATTGCAAAATACACAAATCTGTTCTAGACCATTTTTCGACTTATGAAACTCACACAATGAAATTCTATAGAATCCTATAAATAAATGGCTTAGTAAATTATCATAAAGTGAAAAGTTTAGAAATAATATTAAAGAAGTGTTTAGAAAACTAATGTCACTTTTTTAATTTTAAAATCTTCAACGAGTAAAAATTGGAAATATCTTTTTAAATGTTGGCAGTCTAGTTTTAAAACAAAAAGCCATTTTAGTGATTTTAATTTTGGAATTAAAAAAGTGTCTGTCACAATAAAAATATATTAATTGTTGGGAAATTTTTATTATAAAGTGAAAGATAAAGTTGATTAAGACAAGAAACAAAAAATTTAAAAATACAGAAGTAAAAAAATAATTAATAAACATTGCTTTTTTTTAATACATTATTTTAAGATCAAACTAAATATTGAGATTCGTTTTGAAAGATCACATTAAACTGTACATTTTTTTTTTATTGATCATGTAAAGGCCTTTACAGTTATTTTTTGGTCGTATTCCTTGTCTTTTGTTTACCGCTTGAAAATGCAACGGATTATATTCTAAGAAAAAGCAAAATAGTAACACAGACAAAAGCTTAGAGATCTGAGTTTATCAGTTGAAGGTCGGTCCAGCAGTAATATCAGTTGGGAATACGAATTTATCAGTTGAATACGAATATTCTTTCTCCCTTTTGCACTTTTTTTTTATTTTAGCTGTTGTCAAGAGTGCGGATAATCGTGATTTTGGGGGCAAATGGGAACCGTTAATAGTGTATAAAGGAATAGCATATATTAAATTACTTCTGATAACATTTGCTGAACTCTCGACGGCGCCTGACGTCAGTGAATATAGAAATTGTGGCAGTACAAACCTGAACAAAATATTAATAAACAAAATTGTTTAATTATGTTATACTATTTAATAATAGTAATAAAATAAAACAACATTTTTCAATTTAAAGAACATCTTTAAAAATCCTATTTTAATATTTAATTGTAACTTTATTGGAATGTTCAGCTTTTGTTTGAAGAATGTATTTAAATTTGAGTCAATCAAAATACGATATTCTTGATTTGACAAGCCAAGCGATTTTTTTTTGAGGAAAAAAAGTAAGAAAAATATTTTGTGCATCCCATCCTACTACGATTTTCCGCTTTAACTTACTTTCAGACAGACGAAAACTCAGGAACTAAGATATAGAAATCCCAGACACAGACACAAAATGGCTCTACAACCGTTGCTCGACTGCCGTAGTCTTGAATTGATAGACGAATACTTCCACTTCACCTTCCCAATGGAGGGCGACCTGCTGTACGACGATGTTGAAAATGTGGCCAGTATCCAAAGTGATCTGGAGAAGATCGATTTTGATGCAAGCTTCGTGGACTATGGTATCGGGGAGGACATGAAGCCGGAGATTCGCAATGGCGATTGCATGTGGTCGGCGAATGCCAACGGCTTGAATACCATGAGCAGTGCGATTGGAACCGGGAGCAACAGCGCAGCATCGTCGTACAGTGAAACCAGTGCCATATCCCTGGCCGTGGTTTCCGGCTCCACGAATCCCTACTCCTTATATCAGCGATCGCAGACTACAGATAATACAAGTAGCATCCAATCACAACAGCAGGGAAGCAATCCCGGGGATTTGCCAGTGATCATCAAGAAGGAATTGGTGGATATGGACTATACGATCAGTCAGAAGCGCCGGCGTTTGAGTGGTGGCGACAAGAAGTCGCAGATCCAGGATGAGGACCAGTTGATACCTCCCGGCGGAAGTCTCCTGCGAAAGAGGAACCCAATAACGTTGCCCAATCTCATGGCGTTCCGCAAGGTGGGCGAGGTGAAGAGCAGCAAATACCTGAGACCCGATACACCACACAGTCTTACCGATGAGGTGGTCGCCCCGGAGTTCAGACACAACGTGGACCTAAGGGCCTGCGTGATGGGCAGCAACAATATCTCGCTGACCAGCGACGATGGCGATGTCAACTGCATCAATCTAATAAGCAGGGATCTTCAGAATGCCAGCAAGGATCCAATTGCCTATCGCTTCCCCATCCCAACGATAAACGAAGTCCTCGATGTGCTCAATCAGCAGGTCAGCCAAGCGCAGATTGACGAACAGCAGCAGGCCATCGATATAGCCACTGGATGCAGTACAGTGGACTCTCCGCCGACGACCGGTTCGGACAGCGACTCCGATGATGGAGATTCCCTTAACTATGGACTGCGGCATCATCGAAGCAGCAAGGGCAGCAGCAACAACAACAGCAGCAGCAACAGCAACAGCAACAACGCCACCAACAACGGGATGCTGCACATGCTGCACATCAGCGATCACAGCTACACACGTTGCAACGATATGGTGGACGATGGACCCAATCTCGAGACCCCCTCTGATTCCGGTGAGTTTTAGACCAATCAAGTAATTTCTATTTGAACTATACCTTGTAAAATAGGGCTGTATTTATCCGTAAATTTCGTAAATGCCCATAACTCATTAGAACCTCTAGTTAGGCTGCTGAATTTTGGTATACAAACAGATGTTAGTGTTAGTTTAACTAAAATATTAGTTTAAACCTTTCCAGCTAAAATCTCTTGCTCAAGATTTCTGGTTCTATTAACAATACAGAGTTAAACTTTTGTATACAAAGTCTTGTGTGTAAAAAATTGAAAAAGTAAATATTATTTTAAGACAACAACCAAAAGTAATTCTTATCTTTAAATAAACTATTTAGGTATCCGGGATTATAACAACTATATGCTGAAATTTGGTCTACGCCGCACCATTTGTATAAAGTATTATAACGCAAAACTAATTATAGAAATAGGATACCTCGTGGGGTGGCTGATTAATATTCTTTGCTTTTCCCGCCCCCCATTTATTTTCCCACACACACTTTTGGGTGTTGCACATTCAACTAGTGTTCGCACTTCCGTTTCGTGTGGGTGCAAAATAACGCCCAAGCACAGGCACAAACACAAACAGCCAGAGAACAAGTACACAAATATACACTGAAAGCAACCGGAAAATCGATCGCCGGAAAACGCCTACGTCAACAGCAAACGTAGTAAACTTGTTACGTTGCATACAATCCAACAAAAAACCAAAAAAGAGAGAGAAAAACGCCCACGCGACGCCGGCGTCTGTCTGCGATGGTTTTTCCATTGATTTTTGTGCTTTTCGCTGCGCTGCCGTTGGGCTTTCCTTTATGAATTTTCCCACCCACAAGGGGGAAAAAGTTGGCGCGTGGCTTTCATGGCTCATTGTGTTTGCTTGCTCCATGGCGTCATCCTCTCTCTCTGTTCCGAAGAACCCACCCATCACCCGGGGGATGATGATGTTCTTGCGCAGAACTACGCCCAGAATAAAAAATATAACCTTTATATATATATATATATATATATAGGAATCTCTCTCTCTTTTGGGCCAACACCCCAAATTTCTTCGCGTTTTCCTTGCCGGGCTGTGGCTGTATTGTTGTCCGCTTTTCAAGGATGTCTGGTCACCGACCACGTGGCAGACAGCCCCCAAAAATTTTCCTTCCTCCTTGGCGGCAATTTCCGTACCCTCGGTACTAACACAAAATTTTGGATATTTTCGGACTTTCGAAACAAAAATAAAATCATGAAAAATAATGTTGGAGGTCTTCGAATCTTTAATCCCCAAAGTACTGAAATATATCCCTAATATAAAGAGTATTTACAAGCAAACTAAGACTGGATTTTAATATAAAAGAAAATAATAATTTCAATAATATTATGTTTAAAATTTAAAGTCCATATTTGTGTATTTTTATATGAAATATTTATATGGTTAAGCTTTGAGAGTTATTTTGTTGTCGAGGGTATTCTTTTAGTCGACTTCTGCCCTTTTTGCGGACGAGTTCAATGTCTCCTCTCTCTTTTTGGCGCGCAAATCGTACGCTATCCATTGAGCAACCCTCGCAAGCTTACGTCACGTCAATCATCTAGATTTTACTACGTCTTACGCTACAACTACAACTACAAGGGCCACTACGAGTGCATTTTTTTACAACTACTATACCATAACATTATTTACTACTACTATTTTATGAAGCTTGTGTGAGTGCAAGCTTTATTGATTTTTTGCCAAGCAAAAAAACAAAATATTAACAACAGAAACGCAAAGGTAAAATAAAAGAAAAAAAATACAAAAATGAAAAATTTAAAACATTTAGAACTTGGCAAAAATAAATCGAAAAGATCAAAAAAACAAAAGCAAAAGCAATAAACTTGTTGTGACGGCGCCTTATGCGTCTCTCTCTTTCTAATACTTACGCTCTCTCTCGTTCCCTCTCTTGCAATTTGCCGAGTGCAGTTAAACCAAGAAATTGCAGCAACAACGATTTTAGCACGTTTGTTTTGGTTTTTGCGATTTGGGCTTTTGCCTTTTGCTTTTGGGGTGTTGTCTGCTTTTGCATTTTGTGTGCTTTTGTTTTATTTTGTGCTTTTATTTTTTGTTGCCAAGCGCTCCACATATTTATTTATTTATTTTCTCCCGCTGCGAAAAAGAATAGAACACAAATTAGAAAAATGTAGTAAAAAAATAAACATGCAAAGAGCTTAGCATAAATTAAGAAAAAAAAACGCCCACGTCTGGTCTCATTTATATATTTTAACCATGCATCGTTAAAAAGTTCTTTAGACTAAGTTAGAAAGGCGGAAATTCCTTTGAAAAAAATTCCTAAGTAATAACTGTAAATTTATCATTTAACAAGTTTATGCAAAAATGAATCATTTAAGTAAGGAAAGAAATTTAACAGTCATCTATAAATTAAAAATTGAATTGATTGAGTCAATTTGAACTTTATAAACTATAGGCACACGTGTACAAAATATCAGCATATCATCATCATACTTTGGTGACGAAAGTCATCCACCCCCCAATCACATCATAATTTTTCCACTGCTAATTTAGCAACTAAAAACTTGACACAAGTGGCTCGAGATTATTTTTTTTTTTGCTTTTTTTTGCGTGCGTATTTCTCCTTGGAAATAGATATAGAAATAGAAATAGCAGAAGAAGCGGAAAAAGAAATCAGGTGCGTGCCGCAGATTAGCAAATTTATATTCGCATCTCCCTCGCACTCGGACCTTGTGACGCCTGCTAGAGGGAGATGACACTATCCAAAGACACGCACTTGTATCAATATCAATTCTTTCATCTTTCTTTTTTGAGTTTTTTTTTTGGTAGGGGACTTTCTTTATCGCTATGCTGCAGTCTACTAATTAGTATAAAAGCTTCTTCGTGAGAGCGAGCGAGATGTCTGAGAAGGCTGGTTGGCAACAACGCACAAAATTCGGCAAATAGATAAGGTTTACGCGGGTGTGAGCAAGACACCAGATGCCACATGCCCCTATGTTGGCGCCTATATATGTACATATATATATTTACTTTTTGGTAGTGCGTGCTGCTTTTTGGCATTTCGCACCTTGCGATTGTGCGTGCGGGTTTTGGTAAAATGTTAATGAACTGAACCAAGGTCAGCCAAATCGCTGGAAAAAGTGCGTAGAAAACGAAATGGGGGGGCGGCGAACAAAAAAAAAAAACCAAACCAGAAACCAAATTCAACTTTTATGGCCAGACAAACTTCCAAGTCGACGCAAAAAATTTCCTTTTCGGTCTTCTTTTCGCTTTTCACTTTCGATTTCTGCGGCTTTAATTTATGCGTTTAGAAAAAGTGAACAACAAATAAGTAAACAATTGAAAGTGAATAGATAAACAAGTTATCTCATAAGACAACCAAAAATTAAATAGGAATAGTTAATTTTCAGAACAATTTTTAATTTTCCTAGTTTCATCGATTTATGCTGCAAATTTAAATTATTATCTTATATCTTAACTTATAATTATTAAACAATATTAAATTATGATATCCAAAATAAAATAAAATAAAAACATATGGAATAGTAAAAAAGCGTACCGCAATAGATACATAAATAGTAACCCGAAATAAGACTAGAAATATAAATAACAGAAAAGAGACGCCGCTTGTAAGGGCCCAAAAAAGCCCTGTTAACAATAGGCCGTATGTTTTTTTTCCGGCCGGGTCTTGAGGCATTTTTTGACGGCTTCTTTTTGGGCTGTTGCTAGGCGTCTCTCTCCCCATCCTTATCTCTTTTGGTATTGCCATCTCTGTCCGATGTAGGAATTGCGTCGTAGTTGTTGGCTTGTTGTTGCTTTATTCGCACACGAGTAGCAATAAATTGTTATGCTCAAGGTCGCAAAAAAGCGGCGACGTCGGCGTTATAAAATAAAAAAAAAACCAAAAGCCCATAAAGAGCAAAGCTTTTTCCCCCCTCGGTGGTCTCACGCACTTGGTACAGCTTTATTTATTTATCTTTTTTTTTTTCTTAACAAACGAGCCTCCCTTTCGGCGTTTATGAGAGATTTCCTGTATGTGCACATAAATTGATATATATACTTCCATATATATAAAGAAGATGTATCCACGCCCAAGAATGTTGCCAAAAACTCAAGTGGGAAATGTTGCCAGACGCATTTTCATAATTTATGTGCCAGTTACATTATTACATTATGGATACTATATCAAATAGAAGTACCATCTTGTATGATATGTCGCATTGCGACGTTGTGCAACATAAGTCATTATATTCGTACTCTTGGGGAGGGGTTTCCATCGGAAAAGGCTTAACTTGATGACTCACATCCTGCTTTTCCTCCGATGATGAAATTCCCACTGACTACGTCACAAAAAAGGAAAAGGAAAAGCCGAGAAAATCAAATAGGCGGGGACAACGAAAAAAAAAATGGAGGGAAAAGTGCAAGAAATGCGCGTGGGAAAATCTGCCAGTGCAGCGGAAGCACTGTTTTTCCGCTATTGTTTCAAAAACAGTTGTGGATAATTTTATATGAATTTATTTAGTTTCGAATTTTTATTTGTGTTTCTTACAATTTCTAAAAGATTGAATTAATGTGATATATAGTTTCATACAAACAGTGATTTAACAGTGTTTGTTAATTTTTGATTTACTTGTTTTAATTTATTTATTTTCCTTTTACTGCTTAGTTTTGCTTAATTCTTCCACGTTTTCCGCCAGCACATAATGTTTACAACTTTGTTTATTCAACATTTTAGTCGTCTGACCTATTTTGCTGGCCATCGGTGTGGCAAGCTGTGGTTGAGCGACATGTTGCCAGCAGATGTTGCTGTTGCGGCTGCAATTTCTGTTGCAGTTGCTGCTGCAGATGCAATTTCTGCTGCTGTTCCGTCTCTTAACCTTTGGCAAAAGTGCAACATGTGTTGCTGTTGCAATTTATTTGATTTTCATGCGAAATGCCAACGCAATAATATAGGGTGGATGGCGTGGGAAAATGCAAGAAGCCATGCCCACGTGCGATTTTATATGTTTACGTTCTTAATTTCACGGTTTTCTTGAAAATTTCGGGAAATGAAATTCGAAATTCGCGAGAATCGTTAAATGTGCGAAATGGTAAACAAATATAAAGTGCAGGACGCGAAAAATAGTATGAAATCACTCTGCTGGCTGGCTGGCTGGCCGATGATCTAAACACAAATTCTTCTTTCCCTCAATGAACTTTCTTCTAAATAATCATTTGTTTTCATATATTCCCGCCCAGCATTTGCAGTTTTCATTTGCGCGGTACGGCGATTACGGCGATGTGTCATAAAAGTCGCAGACGCGGAAAATAAACAACAGCGTCTGTTATTAAACAAATTTACAAGGGCAGCGGGGAAGAAGGGGGAAGGGAGGGAAATCGTCTCCGAGAATTTGTTTAATTTTACGACTTGGCACAGTGGTCGAAAAAGTTGCTTAACAATTTATCCAACAATTATGTCGTTTTAAAAGTAATTTGCTTAATCAATGGGCAGAAGAAACGGCAATTTCTTGTCTCGAAAAATTATAATATTCTTTTTTTTGTTATTTGCTCATTGCCTAAAATCAAATATTAAAATACCACATGTGTGAAATCTTAATTGATTTTAATGTCCCACATCGATGTATGATGACTAATTCCAAGTGGTCTTAATTTATCCCACTGTAATTTATTTGCTGAGTTATCGTCGCTTTTTTCGCTTGCTTCTTTTATTTTTATAGGCTTTTTAAAAATTCTTGTCTGTATTACATCATACTGCCTTTGGCATTGCCAATTCCATTTCAATTTCGTTTGCTCGACGACCCAACCCAAAGATATGGGGTATTTAACCCTCGCATATGATAATATGTATCTGAAGCATCTCATCTGCTGCAGTTCTGTTGTTGCTTTTTGTTTAATGCGCCTTTTATATTGATGATGATGCACTTGTCCCCTTTTTATACTTCTATGTTTTCGGGCTTACCCTTTCGACTGTCTGTCCGCATCTCACCGTACCCCCGTGTCCCTATGCTAATTTTATAGGGCAAAAGGCGTCTTTGCTTATCACACACTTCGCTGTACATATATTCATATAGTACGTATGCATGGGTAGGGAAAACCCAACCCAATCTAACCCACCGCCTCCCCCTTTTTCCTGCACTAAAGTTGCGCAACATGTGGCGGCTTGTGTGCATTTTATTTGCAATTATAATCAACGACAGCTTCCTCTTTGGCATTTTTGATACCCTAAACAGGGGTTACAACACTTTCAAAAATGTTTAATAAAATTTAAAATAAACACCCATGATGTGTTTTTAGTTTTTGCACGATCAAAAGAATATATGATCTCTAAAAATAAGTCTAAAAGCAGATAATTTTGTAGTTTGTGAAGACATTTCAACTAAATTTGGTATATGGGTTACCAAGGCTAAGATACACAGCTTCCATAAATTTCACAACAATCGCCAAAAAGGGTATCGTAAAGTCTTAAAGCCATCCTTGTTCACTCCTCAACTCTCAGCTTTTTTGCTTTATTATTACGATTTGATCTTGGCTTCGTTCGCTTAGCAACAAAAGTTGCTGTTGCCGTCTCGAATAAATAATAATAAAAAAAAAAAAAAACAAAATAAAAGTTGCTTTGTTTGGCTTGTCTGCTTCTTCCAGTCGGTTTCTTGTATTTTAATGCAGCAAACGAGTTTGTCTGGTTTTGGTTTTTTATTCAATGAGAGAGGAGAGATGTGAGATATATAGAAGAAGCATCGGCAGCATCCGATTTGTGCGGAATAACCGTTAGTAAAACTAAGGCAAAAGCTCCCGGCACAACCCTAGTTTTTATTTTTATTATTATATCTGAACATCTGAATAACTGAATAACTGAATTGAATGCAGTTTTGCCGGGGCAGCAGATGCAGTTTGATGATAAAAATAAAAATGAAAACAACGGACGGGGGGCGAATGGGAGGATTGCAATTCTGTTATGTTGATTATTTTTATTTTACCATCCCATTCATTGTCTATTAAACGTGATTGTGGGGTTGGTCTCAGTCTGGAAATTCCCCTTTCAATATTGAAATAAAGCTGTTCGTTGGAAATCACGCTTCCCAGTTCAGTTGTTTAGTTTTTGTGATTTATTTCTCTTTTGCATTTATTGATTTTAAGTCGAAGTCGTGCGTTTGTTTTTGGCAATTAATGGCTTTTCACTAGAAATTCTGTCTGAGAAATTCCAGTGAATTTGTGTTTATTTATTATTATTATGTCATGACTTCAATTGCTTAGGTTTACTTATTAAAAAATATATGATATATTAAACCTTTTTTTATAATGAAGTGTAACTGATGATAAGGGGTGGCATTCCACAGAGTTTGTTGTCCAGTCAGAAGCTCATTCCTCATCATCCCGTGCACTTTATTTTTATAAGGAAAAATGGCCGTCGAAGAGGCTGCATTCCAAGATTTTGTCGAGGGGGGAAGATCTTGGTGGTCTGTTGGTTGTCTAGCCAAAGTGGAATGATGACGTTGGCAGAAAAAAAAAAAAAAAAAACTGAAAAAGTAACCAAGAACCCGCTTGGCTCCTTCTTTTCTTCGCGTTTTATCTCTTGATTCTCCTGAAAGAATCTGACTCATGCCCACTCAGGCATCTCTTCTGCAGGTTTCGATTTCGTTGCGGTTTCAGTTGGGGATTTATTTAATGTTTATTTTTTGCCAGTCTCCCATGCACTTGATCTTGCAACTTGCAACTTGTTGCACTTGTCAGCAGTCCTACCTCTTCCCTTCCTTCCTTCCTTCTCCCCCCTTTTCAGTCTTCAATTCCTTATTTACCTTGTTGCCAAGCGCAAAGTTTGCTTTTTTCCTGCTTTTTCTTCTTGCTCGCTTGCTTGCACAGTTGCTTGTTTTAATAAGCGAAAAGAATTGTTTAATCAGTTGGCTTGAATTCGTAGTGTATAAATACCGAAATTTAAATGAAATTTGATTCAATTGAAGGTTAAATTTCTGGATAATTAAAAAACCTGAAAACCCAAACAAACCACATAATATTGAATTTAAAACGAAAAAAAAAATAAAAAAATAAAACAACTATCTAAGAAGTTTAATTATTTTTACAGACAACAATTTTAGAGCTCGTGAGAGCTATGAAAATTACGAATTCCAGGCCATTTATCCTCATGCAATTCTTGTTCTCTCCGAAGCCAAAGCCCCGCAAATGTTTTTCTTTTAGCGCAAGTTTAATGACCCTTGCTTGGCTAGAATTATGACTTAGGTGGGCGTGGAAAAAAGAAAGGAAAGAAGGAACAAAAACAGCTAAAGCGGATTAGTGTGTCAACGTTTCGGGGGGGGGTATAGTTTCTCCACAATAGTAGTCGGTCGTATATATCTTGCGCAAAGTAGTATCTCGTGTATCAGACTTCAGGAAGCAATAGATTTGCACGGATTTCAATTTCAAGTGGCGACGTCGCGACAGACAGACGACGACGACTACGCCCTTTTGTGTTGACGTCATTGGTCTGTCTCTGCCTTTTTGTTTTGCCTTCTTTTATTTTATTTTATTTTATTTTGCCTTGCTTTATTCCATTCCATTCCATTTCTCTTACCCCACATCCCACGTAATTCCGCCTGGCAACAGAGAAAGCCGGAGATACATAGGGATAGAGAGATATTGGCTGGGGGGTTGGGCTCGAATCGCACAGCTTTTGCTCTGTACTCTCTTCCGTTTCGCTAATTTACTGCTTCCGTTGCGACCATTGAACCAAGAAGAAGCAGAAGTTAAAGAAGAAGAAGAAGCTGGAGCTGCAGCACAGTGCGTTGCATAATTATATTGGCACACATTAAAAATAAAATATAGATATCATAGCATATAGAAGATTCCCATGGGAATTTAAGTTTATGGGGGGAAGATATCTAAATAATATTTGGCATACATTTTATCATAGTATAGTTAAGTCTTATAGATGCACCAGGCTAACCAGAAACTCCCTCTTTTATTGCCCATTTGCAGATGAGGAAATCGATGTGGTATCGTATACGGACAAGAAGCTGCCCACGAATCCCTCGTGCCACGTGATGGGTGCTCTGCAGACCAAGATGGCCCACAAGATATCGATTGATCACATGAAGCAGAAGCCGCGCTACAACAACAACTTCAATCTACCGTACACGCCGGCCAGCAGCAGTCCAGTGAAGTCGGTGGCCAACTCTCGCTATCCATCGCCATCGAGCACACCATACCAGAACTGCTCCTCCGCCTCGCCATCCTACTCGCCGCTATCCGTGGACTCGTCGAATGTCAGCTCGAGCTCCAGTTCCAGCTCGCAGTCCAGCTTCAGCTCAATTTCGGGCAACAAGGGACGCAAGCGATCCTGCCTGAAGGCACCGGGTGGTGGCATCACCTCCAGCATGCTCATGCCGGGCACCAACGGTGTGGCCCATGGCATCACGACGAGCAAAAAGTGTCGCGGCAAGAAGGTGGTGGTGAGCAGCAGCTCCTCGGCATCCTCGTCGGGCAGCATATCGCCGGTTTCGGCGGTTGGCCAGGATGTGGATGCCATGGATTGCAACTGGCAGCGACGCAGTGCCGCACCCAGCATGGCCCCCAGTTGCACCAGTGTCCTCCGGAAGGAGTACAGCCTGGGCCTGGACGAGGCCGATACGATCGAGAAGCGCAATCAGCACAACGACATGGAGCGCCAGCGTCGCATTGGCTTGAAGAACCTCTTCGAGGCTCTGAAGAAACAGATCCCCACCATCAGGGACAAGGAGCGGGCTCCCAAGGTTAATATTCTGCGCGAGGCGGCCAAACTGTGCACCCAGCTGACCCAGGAGGAGCATGAGCTCAGTGTGCAGCGCCAGCTGCTGAGTGTGAAACTCAAGCAGCAGCAGGAGATCTTGGCCCGCTATAGGATGGTCAAGAGCGAACCGCACTCGGTCAGTGGATAGTGTTGTCTAGTACTATCTGCTTAAAGCGGCGGCGTAGCGCTAGGAATCCAACATCAGCCCCCTTTCCTCCCCCTATAAATATTTTTTTTTTCATAGATATAGATGAACACCATCCTATTTTTTGCGATTTTTCAATTCAATACTTTCTTGACCTTAAGCTAGCTACACATATATAGATATGATTTTTTTTTTGTGGAGAACTTCAATATCAGTTAGTAGGTTATGTTTAAAGATTTGCTTACTTTGTTGTACCATTCGAGAGAAGAGGAGAGATAGGAGGTACAAGTGATTTAACAAATTTGATTTCTTTAATGTGATATATATATGATTTTCTTTCCGCTCGATTTCATTTGGCAAGGAAGTTATCGAAAACGGTGTTATGGAATCAAGTTGAATTGTTTTTTTTTTCGCTGCATATATTACAATCTAGACGTAGGATTAGGCTTAGCTAGCGTTTAGGTCTCTGTATATAACATATGATATAGGTTCTATGATAGTTATTTTTTTGAATTAGCCACTTAACCATGAAGTAAACAAAAAGGAAAACGATAAAAAAAATGTAAGGACAAAGAACCAAACAATGAAAAGTGAAAGTGAAAGTGAAGAGACAGATAGAGAGAGAGAGGAGAAACACAAACAAACGAAAAGGGAAACACAAAAAGAAAACAAAAACGGATACGGAAACGGAAAACAGACAAAAGTTACAACGAAAGAGCCACAAAGAGGAGATAGATAGAGCACAGAAAAATCGGAAGTGAGAATGATGAGATATATATAGGAATTATTATAGCTGAAAGTAGAACTTTTGGTTGACACCCCCTAAAAACAAAAACAAAAAGAGCCGGCTTCAAATGGTTCCAAACTTCTTGACGAAGCAATGCGGAACACCATATTTCGACCTTGGTTCGATAGTTCACCTAGACTTACCTCTTAAACTATGGGAATATCTTTTTACATGCGCTTTTGGGTTCTGTGTCTTTTAAGACGCATCCTTGGAGCAGAAGAGAATCCCAACTGTATCTGCATGCATACACACACACCTCAATGCTTTTGCTTAGACCCCCGACATAACCCATATATATAACAATATATATATAAATCTGTTAGACGACGACGCGAAGATGAAAGTGAAAAAGCTTTTTATATACACCCCAAAAATAAACACTCTACTGCCTATATTGAGAAATACATTTTATTTGCAATGAAGATTCAAATATGAAAATATTATATACCTTTTTACAATCATATTATCTTTTCTATATATATTTTTTTTGCTACACTTAGGGATATAAATATATAGTTTTTAACTGATAACTATGCATATGAAATGCGCAAAACTTAACGAAAACAAAAAGGAATCAAGAAAAACTTTAAACTATTTAATAGTGCTAAACTAAACCTAAACGAAAACCTCTCGAGAATAGCTGATATATATATATAGGAAGAGAGAGAGAGAGAGAGAGGGCGAAAGAGTGGAGAAATTGGCTGCAAAGTTTGTGATTGGAGTTACGAGAGTCCCAGAGAGATATATACACCCACGAACCCAAGACCCAAGAGAACTCAAACTTTTGTGAGCTGTTTAACTGTCGATTTTTTGCTAATAAGTTATTGCCTCTCGGCAATATGTTATATATGATTAACGATTATACCAATTGTTTACACGCATCTAAATATCAACTAAAACTAAAAACTAAACTACTAAACTAAAGGACATAGAGCGAAATGCGAATGAAGTAAAAAGCGCATGAGAGAAAAATGTAGGAAGCACGAACGCGATTCTAAGGAAATGTCAACTGTTATTTAGGTTTAGACACAAAAAAAAAACACGCATGATATATATGGATATATGATATATGATGACCAGAAATTGAATGAGATCGGGGGAGGTTATTTAGGTATGTTATATATAACGCGTAAATTTCTATATAGTATAGGGCGACGTTTCAACGAAATTTTGTATGTGAGTTCTAGGCTAATAGCTACTATATCTATACCCAAATACATATATTTCTTATACTTTCTGTTTACTACTAGCTTTACGTTCGAACCCATGAAATATTTTGTATCTTATATTTTTCTTTTATTACGCCGCCGCAAATCTTTTTGGAAAAACAAGCAACTTAACTCTTCTTTATTTTTTGAATAATTAAACTATACTAAAAAAAAAATTGTTGAATGGAAAACAAAAAAAAAATATTACATATACGTGGACAAACAATTAAGGAGTATATTTTTTGTATTGTTTCGACCAAAAAAAATGTGTACACACTGTAAATAGCAATCTCGTTAAATAATAGTTACACACGCCTACAAAATAGCGAACCCAAAACCCAAGAGATGGAATTATTTTTATAGAAAACACAAAAACCCGGAGAGAAAACACAAAGCAATAGACTTAAGCGAATTGTACAACGCGAAACGAAAACAAAACTTCAATAAACCAACAAATACACACACAATACACACCTATACATATACAAAATACACAAACACACAACGAATGCACCTATTTTCCTATAGTACATACAACAAGAAATAGTTTAACGAATTAAAAAACACCTTGTTTTCTTTTTTATAATTTCAACAAACAAAAACAAGAACCGTACAAATTTACGATACAATAAACTAAAAAACAAATGACAAGAAACAAAAAAAATACGAAAAGCAAACCTTTTGTTTGTTTAGTCCTTTAATTAATTTATTTACGAAACAACAAATTCAAGTGAAAGAGCATTTTTAAACATAATTTTTTATTACAAAAAAAAAACATTAAAACTATGACCAAAACCAAAATCCTCGCAAACAAAACAAAAAAAAAACATTTTACTTTTTTTTCTTATAAAATACATTTATAATAAAAAATAAACAAAAGTTTTTAAGTTTAAATATATTTTTATGATTATGAAATTTTTTATATTATAAATACACAAACTACTATTTGAATTAGTTGTTAAAAATTTATTTTTAAATAAAACGCAAATTATTTGAAGAAAAATAACAAATGTAAAAACTTGTGTAAAAAAAAATGTGAAAAACTCATTGAAATGAAAGCAAAAAAAAAAAACTGTTAACACACTGAACGAAAAAATATGAAACTATAGACGAACATAATTGAATTATTGCATGTATATTTAAACCACTTTTTTTTGCATATGTTTATGACTATATATTTGAAAACCCTATTTTTGATTTGATGACAAAAGAAGTTATTGAAAATTCTGTTCACTTTGGTTATTGCTTATTAAATATGTTAAAACATCGCAAAATAATATACATATAACTGGCGAATCAAGCTAAATACCTATATTAATATATTATCTAATAATTTTTAACTCGTTATGTAGTTACCTATTAATGAAAAACGAATTGAAAGCGAAAAAAAATGAGAAAAGTAAACACAATAAATTACATTTTATGTACCTTTTACATATATAAACTATATATATTACACAACACACACACATACACTACTATATATAGAAACAAACCGTTTAAATATTTTTTTTTCAAAATTTATGATAATGGAATTATACAATAAATATATTTCAACATACCAAGAAAGAATTCAATTTTTATTTTGTTTTTATTTCTTCGCTTCTGTTTGATGATTGGTTTTTATGCTGTATTGACGATTTCCAGATTCTCCCAATTGGTACAAGGTTTTTTCCGTTTCAGATTTTTGTAGCTTCTGATTATTTGCATTTTCGTTTTTGGAAAACGTGCAACTTTGTTGCAGTTTCTAAATGGCTTGTTTATATTGGATTGTTTTATTTTGCAGTGAGTATTGAATTTTTAAGCTTTATTAAAAGTTTTTATGAATTTCTTAAAAATTCCTATTTGTATAATAACTAGTTCAAAATCTTCAATACAACAAATGAAAATTACTTTTTCTTTGTATTATTGTATCTTTAATTATTTTTACTATAAGTTTTTATCCGAAATACATTCTTATTATGTAGTTACCTTTTGTAAGATTTTAAGAATTTTGTATTAAGTAAAAAAGATTTTTCCCACGAGTAACATTACATTTCCTAGCAAGTAAAATAACATGTTTTTTTTAAGTATTATGGTATTATCTACTATTCTCACTTTCATTTCGCAGTGATTCATTTGAAATGATTCACTTTGTGGGTGGGAAAATTACTCTTGTCGCCGTTTCTAATCAAGCAGTTCAGCGTTTATTTTTTCGCTTTTCGCCCGGGGTGTCGCTGCCACGCCCCCTTTGCCCACCAGACAAATTAAGTTAATTCAATCAGAGTTGTTTCACTGTTGTTGTACTTGTTGTTTTACCGGCAAAATTTTTAATGAAATCAAAGCGACAACAAAAGCAACTAGAAGGAGAAGCAGAAAAGCCGGCCGGGAGACAGTCACCGACATAACAATAACAACGATCACGATAGCCATAAAATAACATTTCATTTATACACTTTTTTTTGTTGTGTTTCTTTATTATTTTACTACAATCATTCAGTTTCGGTTTCGTTGGTTGATTTTGTTTTTTTTGTTAATTTTTACTTGGTAAGTGAATTGAGCTGCAAAAAAAAAACAAAGCAAAAGATGAAAGGGAAATTTGTTGAAGTGAACCGATCGAATTCGCTGATTCTCTTTTTTGACATGTTATTTAATATTTTTCAGATAGCTTGTGATCAATTTTTAATAAATGGTTATTGTTATTTTTTTGTGAAAATGTTTTAAAATGACTTTCTTAAAATATTTACTGATATTTTTATAAGGTTTTTGTATACTACTTAAATTAAGAGTTTATAGTTATTGAACTTTTAAAATATATTTAATTGGTAATCTGCAGAATTATTTTGTTTTAATATTTTAAGTCACTTTAAAAATACGTTAGCTTTTAATGTTTATTTTGTTTACATGGAAAGTCAACTGGCAAGTAGTGATACCCCTAAAAATCGAAAGGGTAGACAGATAAGTAGCCGGCAAATTCGCACACACACAATGAGGGCGACGGGCCAAGCAAAACAGAGACAACAAAATTGGCGTGCACAATTGTTTAACTGCAAAAAAAAAAAAAATTAAAACAAAAAAATAACAAGCAACAATTTTTTTTTCATTTTTTTTTACACTCTGACCGCGGTCGGTCGCTTTATTGGGTGAAGGTCACGCCGGCTGCGCTGCGACTGCGTCTGCCTTTTGTTTTTATTTTTATTTATATTTTTTTTTTGCTGCTGCTGCTTCTGTTTATCTTTATTTATTTTGGTTTTCATTTTTTGCGCCTTCTATCAGCTTGTTCTGACTTCTGTTTCCAAAAAAATGTCACTGGGAGTCATCAACAATTTTAGTTAAATTAAATAATCTTGATCAAGTATATTCACAAGCGAATTAAGAAATAAGCTTTAAAAAAAACTTTGACTTAAAAATGCATTGCTTATTCGCCTTTTTTGATTAAATGACTGTACACCGGTCCCATTTTTGTGAAAAACAAACAATTTACGATTTTATACGTTTTGGTTTACATAAATAAAATTGGCTATTAAGCTGTTGGTTAGTAACTTGTAATTTTAGCAATAAATAAAAAAATCACTCATAAAAGGGATATTAAATATATTAATGTTTTCCTTTTAGTGATTGCAAACTACAAACAAAAATTGTAGACTTATAATATACATTTTATAATTGAATTAAAGGCTTTAAAGCTACATTTTGTTTCTGTGCACTCCATTATTTTTTTGGATACAATTTTTTGATATTTTGTTTTTTTTTTATATATCGCTTAATTCATAAATTTAACGCCTTTGCTAAAAGCGCAGTTCGGTTTATTTATTTCGCTTAGGCAATTTTTTCATTCTTTTTGAGTTAAGTTATTTCTGTCAATGTTTAGCGTATATTTGGATAATTTATTGCCTTAATGTTATTCGAGAACTGGAAATTTGCTGGACTTCAAGGTCATTCCACACTCACACACATATTCACACGCACCTACATTGACACACACACACACACACAAAAAGGCAATGCAGAATCAAAAGTACAAAATAGTCATAGAATCAAGAGTGTAAATAATGACAGAAAGAAAATTAAAAAGGAACTCCAAGAAATATATGTTAAATTAACGAAGGCACATTAAATCCCAACAGATAAACACTGAAATCTGCTTATATAGACAGCTTTAAACGAAAACCAAAAAATACATTTAACAGGCTTCAATAGTTCAACTAAAAAACAAATACGAGAATTGAAGAGAAAACTTTTGTAAATTTTGTATTTTTTCGAAAATATTTAATAAATGTGTTTTACATGCATATATATAATATACAAAAAATACAATATATTAATAAATTACCAATTATTTGAAATAAAATATATATTATATAATATACACCATATACTTATACATTATTCAATTATATATATTTAGAAAGCAACAACAACAAATTATATAAATAGAACTTAAACAAATTTGTAAGAAGGCGAGGCGTATACGTAATTAAACAACAACAAACCATTTGATAGGACGAAAGGCAGAGCTTAAGAAAAAGACAGCTTTTGTAAGTAAATATTGAACAAAAAAATATAAACAGATTTGTGGAAAATGTGGAGAAAGTTGAATAAAGAAAAGCGCAGCGAAGAGCCACACACACACACAAAACCTGAGTTTTATTTGGTGAATTTAAAATTAGAAACATTGATACATATTTATAACTTTTATTAAAACATAAAACGATATATTGGGTTCACATGAAAAATAAGGAAATGTGTTTATGCCATTCGAAAAATAAATTGTATATTTATTTATCAACTTACATTCATCAATTTGTAACTTCTAACATGTTTATTTTTTTTTCTTATTTTAAATGGCCTCGAAATATCCTTTTACTCGTCCCAATTGGACCTCCTTATTTTCTGATTAGCCTAAGGGATCTCATTTCGCCTAAGTATAGGGGTACATGTTCGCTGGCTATCTGGTTCTCCTGGCAGATTTCTTTCTTCGGCGGACAGATGCATTCGAAGGCGTCGTCCAGGGGCCAGCTGTAACTTTTTTCCTTTATATTTTTCTCCTTTTTTTTTAGCTCCTTTGTCCGGGGGTTCGAATGTCACATAACTGGTCTGGACGGACGAGGATATAAGGCCAGGCCATCTCGTTAAACTTTCAACGCACTGCCCCCCTTGTGCGTGCTTTTTTCTTTTTTCCTTTTAATTATGTATAGATTTCGGCGGCTTGCAGCTTGCGAGAGGTTCGCAATAAGGGGTTAAGGCACGGAGGGGTTAAGGCTGGGGTTGCAACAGGTGCAACTCGTCGATCGATGAAGTTAGCGGTGTTGAAATGAAGGCGAACTATAATTGTGCCCTAACTTAAGCAGGGGTTACATCCCCGATGTATAGAGGTTGGTAAAAAAAAAACACTGGAACATATTTAGAGTTTCATTTCATTTCACTTTTATAATATACATTGATTTTACAAATAAAATATTAGCCTTTTATTTACTACTTCATAGAAACCATGAAACTGATGTACAGATCATGCGATGCTTAAGAATTCGCGGTTAAACTAAAGTCAACTAAATTTGTTTATTTTTAATGCAATTCATGGTAGTCTATACATTTAAATAATACAAAATAATGTTACATTGTTTTAAGCAATACGTAAAGAATTTAGAAAATTTATGACAAGCAAACAAAATGCTTTCAAATAATATTACACTTTATTAATTTATAAATTTGATTAAGATCTAGTGCAGACTTTTGGTTTATAAAACGCTACAAAACATACACAAATATGTGATAAAGCTTGGAGAATTTTTTTTTCTGAACGAAAGAGTACTTTCACATGCAACAAGAATGAAAAAGGCATCGTATACACTGATTAGGGCGAGATGGTGTGCGTGCCGCCGCCAACTTAATTGGGCTTAATGCAGGTTGAAATACAATTATGCCGGTCCTGCACCTTTACTTAATGATGACATTCGGCGGCCAGCATGCCCCGTCCTCAAATGATCCGCAGCGAGTGCTCCATGTGATCGGCGAGCGCCACCTCGAACACGCTCTTCACACAGCACACCATCCCGAAAAAGAACACGTGCAACACCAGCGACAGCAGCGTCTGCAGGTTAATCGCCAGTCGGCCGGTGATCACCTCGAAGGACCACATAAACCACTCCACGGACAGGACGAGGCTCGTCACCAGAATCCAGGGCGACATTGCTGCGGGGGAAATCTGGGGAGTGGACTTATCAGACTAAGTGAGACTAAAGAATACGCGTTTTCTTAAAAGTAAAGTCAATAAACTAAGAAAAAACCTATATAAACTTATGTGATCGAGTACAAGTCAATTCAAAGCACTTTAAAAGCCTATATCTATGCTTATGTGATGCTGAAGAATTCGCTGTCCAACAAATCCTGAGAGGCTGAAGAATTCGCGTTTTCTTAAAAGTAAACTCAATAAACTAAGAAAAACTTATATAAACTTATGTGATGCTACAAGTCAAGTCAAAGTACTTTTAATGCCTATATCTATGATTAAGTGATACTGAAGAACTCGGTGTTCAACGAATCCTGAAAGGCTAAAGAATTCGCTTTTTTCCTAAAAGTAAAGTCAATAAACTAAGAAAAACCTATATAAACTTATGTGATGCTACAAGTCAAGCCAAAGCACTTTTAATGCCTATATCTATGCTTATGTGATGCTGAGAGACTGAAGAATTCGCGTACCCACCGTTAATATGCCATAGACGAGCATGAACCAAGCGATCAGGTTTATGCTGGATCCGAAAAGTCGAGCCTTGCGCAGCATCCAGTAGCTCAGGACGTAGAAGTGCCGCTGGCGCCACATGTTCAGCTTCCAGTAGGGGCAGCTCCACACTTGCATCAGCTCGTAGAAGTTAGTCCCCGCCCCGCAGAGGCTGAGGAGCACCACCACCCAGAAGACGACCGGGAACAACTCGGTGCGGCACACGCTGCAGGATTGGAGCAGCGATTTGGCCTGGTCCCAGCGGTGCATCGGGCAGAAGTTCCAGATCGAGTACGCGGTGTAGTCGCGGCGCTCCTGGAAAATCCTACCTAGCATCCGACGGACCCGGGAGTTTATATGCTGAACCTCGAACATTTCGGTTGGTTTGAATTTAGGCAGATCGAATATTCAAGCGGGTAATGTCTTTTTTTTTGTTGGTTGTTCAATTGATTTGACTTATTTACTTTGACGGAAGATCCAAATTTGTAGTGCTCCGATTGACGGTAGCTCCAAAGGTGGCTGTATGAAAAAGTTAATGATAACTATTCCTATCAAGAAAGACTTTTGACTGAAATTATACTGCTCCTACAACGAAACAATAAAATTGATCAACATTAAAATGAAAAATTTTAATACAGATTAGAAATAAGTAAAATGAAAATGGGTCAAAAATTTGATCAACGTTGAAATGAAAATTTTGAATGCAGATTTTTGGAGAATGAAATCACAAGTCTTTAGAGGTATGCCACTTTGAAATCGGACAAAATTTGGTAAAGTTATGTCTGTGGAAGTCCAAGTGTGGGTTACCTTTTTACAACTCATCGGAAACTTAGAAATAAGTAACATGAAAATGGGTCAAAAATTTGATCAACCTTAAAATTAAAATTTTGAATGCAGATTTTTGGAGAATGAAATCACAAGTCTTTAGAGGTATGCCACTTTGAAATCGGACAAAATTTGGTAAAGTTATGGACTGTGAAAGTCCAAGTGTGGGTTACCTTTTTACAACTCATCGGAAACTTAGAAATAAGTAACATGAAAATGGGTCAAAAATTTGATCAACGTTAAAATGAAAATTTTGAATGCAGATTTTTGGAGAATCTAATTACAAGTCTTTAGAGGTATGCCACTTTGAAATCGGACAAAATTTGGTAAAGTTATGGACTGTGGAAGTCCAAGTGTGGGTTACCTTTTTACAACTCATCGGAAACTTAGAAATAAGTAACATGAAAATGGGTCAAAAATTTGATCAACGTTGAAATGAAAATGTTGAATGCAGATTTTTGGAAAATCAAATCACAAGTCTTTAGAGGTATGCCACTTTGAAATCGGAAAAAATTTGGTAAAGTTATGGACTGTGGAAGTCCAAGTGTGGGTTACCTTTTTACAACTCATCGGAAACTTAGAAATAAGTAACATGAAAATGGGTAAAAAATTTGATCAACGTTAAAATGAAAATTTTGAATGCAGATTTTTGGAGAATCAAATCACAAGTCTTTAGAGGTATGCCACTTTGAAATTGGACAAAATTTGGTAAAGTTATGGACTGTGGAAGTCCAAGTGTGGGTTACCTTTTTACAACTCATCGGAAACTTAGAAATAAGTAACATGAAAATGAGTCAAAAATTTGATCAACGTTAAAATGAAAATTTTGAATGCAGATTTTCAGAGAATCTTATTACAAGTCTTTAGAGGTATGCCACTTTGAAATCGGACAAAATTTGGTAAAGTTATGGACTGTGGAAGTCCAAGTGTGGGTTACCTTTTTACAACTCATCGGAAACTTAGAAATAAGTAACATGAAAATGGGTCAAAAATTTGATCAACGTTGAAATGAAAATGTTGAATGCAGATTTTTGGAGAATCAAATCACAAGTCTTTAGAGGTATGCCACTTTGAAATCGGAAAAAATTTGGTAAAGTTATGGACTGTGGAAGTCCAAGTGTGGGTTACCTTTTTACAACTCATCGGAAACTTAGAAATAAGTAACATGAAAATGGGTCAAAAATTTGATCAACGTTGAAATGAAAATGTTGAATGCAGATTTTTGGAGAATCAAATCACAAGTCTTTAGAGGTATGCCACTTTGAAATCGGACAAAATTTGGTAAAGTTATGGACTGTGGAAGTCCAAGTGTGGGTTACCTTTTTACAACTCATCGGAAACTTAGAAATAAGCAACATGAAAATGGGTCAAAAATTTGATCAACGCTAAAATGAAAATTTTGAATGCAGATTTTCAGAGAATCTAATTACAAGTCTTTAGAGGTATGCCACTTTGAAATCGGACAAAATTTGGTAAAGTTATGGACTGTGGAAGTCCAAGTGTGGGTTACCTTTTTACAACTCATCGGAAACTAAGAAATAAGTAACATGAAAATGGGTCAAAAATTCGATCAACGTTAAAATGAAAATTTTGAATGCAGATTTTTGGAGAATCAAATCACAAGTCTTTAGAGGTATGTCATTTTGAGATCGGATTATATTTTGTAAAGTTATGTGCTCCAGAACTTTAAGATTCTGGGTCGCAAGTTCTCTGCACTGCGTTGCAATGACAGCAATTTAAATACCTTCTGAAAGGGTATAGAAAGGTGTTTTTACTTGTAGTTTTAGTACACCTCAGTCTTTCTTATTGAAGCAGTTAAAAGAGAAAGATAGAAACAGAAGCTAATAAAATAAAAAGGCTAACTGTCGCAGGGTGTAATTACTCAAAACACATTTATTTACTTGAGAATTGTAGTCGCCGGAAATGCTTTATATGGCTGTCAAAGGTAAACTACAAAACATTTAAGACCTCTTGATTTGACATCCATCGTTCTATTTGTTGGGTGCATTTGAAATGTTCCCAAAAAATCAATCTGGAAAACTTAAACAACTTCGGTATGCGAAAGGCGTGTCCATGGCCATGCCTACCTGATAGTTTCGCCCGATAACGGCATTATCTCAAGCGGTTCTTGGAACTATATATATATACATTTAATGGCGCCTCCCACTCTTTCTTTTCGCTCGGTGGGAATCTGCAGATGAGGTCGAAGGTGAAAGTGCCATAAAAATGCGACATCCTGCGCATTTGCCATAAAAGTGTGTGCTCGATCGTAAAAACACTTTTTCGGTTAGGCCCAAGACGATGATAATAGGCCCTTCCTATATGCCAGATATGTCATCCCTTAACCCCGAACTACCTGTTTGAAGTTCTCTGGGTGTGTACAAGTATCTGCAGGTGTTTTCCCGGGGCGGAGATGAGATGAATCAGCTAACTGAGTGAGTACAGCACAATTATTATTATATTGAAATGCCCCGGACCCCCGTCACTTCTCCCGAGTATTTTTAGTAGAGGTAATTGCGCGCCTCAGACACTGAGAGAAATTAAGTCATTTAACAGTTACATTATAATACCATTTTTAATTTGACGCTGTGAGTAAAAACATTTCAAAATTTTGTATTTATTTATTTTAAAAATAATAAATTGTGTAAAGAATTCTATTAAAACATAGTTAAATTAAAAACTAAAAATGTGGAAGTCGATTTTAAAGGCACGTTAATGGATAATGGATCTTTTTAGAGCAGTTTTTGTTTGCAGTGTGTAGATAGTTTTGTCACAGTTGCTGTGGGGTGGAAATGACCGGGATGGAAGTCTGACCAATTAAAGACCCGAGTCCGCCCCTTTTTCGAAAATCCCCTTCCCTTGGCTCTATTTGTTTAATAAATTTTTCTATTTGCCTGCTTAACATGGCGTGGGCCATCGCATCGCTTACGGTTTTAATGACACTTTGTTTTGGTTGTTTTATTTTTCTATTTTTTTTTTTTTTCGCCGACCTTAATTGCCAGTATTCCACTATTTTACTAAGCTGATTCATGCGGGCCGGCGGCTGGGCCATAGAAAACTTTAGACGACTCTCTCAATATTCAACGAATTCAATATTTCATTGATGGCCCGATGATGCGGACGGTTTCCATTGTTGACTCGAGCGAGACACTTTTCAGGTTTTAAGGTCTCGGGTCCCTGGGATTTTCGATTTGTCACGACTCCTGGTCAATTGAAAGGTCCAAAGACGAACGTTTCTTGGCAGCATGACAAGTGCAATTTGGCCAAGAAAGCGTTTCCTGTTTGGCTGGCATTAATAAAAGTCGACGGACATAAAGACTAAAAATCCATCAGCATTCCGGGAAAACCCAGATCAAAAGGACTCTCCAAGGATTCCTCGACCACTCGCTCGTTGTCCTGGCAATTTGCTCTAGATTTTAACTGCATTCTCTATTGCATTTGCTTGGGAAATTGCTGCCTTTGTGGTCAAGTTGGCAGTAGTTGATTGCTGGCAATCAATTAAAAGTAAAGTTATTTAGAATAGTAAAGTTGTTAAAAGAGTAAACGAACAATACGAAAAGTGTTATTCACATTAAACAAAAAGTACTCAGGTGCTCAAATTTTAAACTGTGCTCTTTAATCGTTTTCGGGAAATGTATTTTTATTGTAGCATTTTATTTTAATAAAATAAACATGGCTATACATATGAAGTCTACTAAAGACATTTATCAGAGATTTCAATTCAAATCAATATAAATTATAAGCTTACTACGGTCTTAAAGGAACCCTGAAACCAAAAATATACTTTTGCCCCACTTTTTGTATTGATTTGAGGATAACCCACAGCTGATGTTTCCATTTCGAAGCCAGAGGCGTTGTATTTGATTTCGTTTCCCAAAGTTAGTTAAGGGGCAGTGCCTTTAAAATACTATTAATCAATAAAAAAAAAACCCTTTTGAGATGCGCATATGGATGAAGTTCTGTAGAACAAAAAAAACTTTATCCAACTCCCAAACTCAAGACCATTAATCATAATGAGATGCCAGCTGAGGAAGCATTGGCAAAGAATCGATACCTAGATGGTGCACTGCTCAAATTAATTTTCGTAATTTTATTAATATGTACATTATTTTGACATTTAAGGAAATTTAAAAGAAAGCAATAAAAAAGTCTTTATAATACGTGGAAAACATAAATAAGACTATAAATAGGTCTTCAAATTATATTCTTTTTTGAATCTCTAATATGTATGTCTATTTTTAGGGAATGTATTATTTTTTTTTGGGTGTAATCCTACAAAAAAAAAAGATGCTATGGGGTCGTGGCGTGATCTGTAGTCCCGTCGAAATTTTGCTATATTCACAATGGCTTAGCAACACGACCAACAATTTTCCGCCAACATAGAAAAAGATAGAAAAGGTGTTGGCGGCATAATAACAGAGAAAACCGGGGAGGTATTATATAGGAGATGGAAACCGTTTGGTTGGTGCTACCCATTATTTTTATCGCCTTTTTTTCGCTCACTCGAAATAGATTTGACCTATTTTCTACACGTTCCGTCAATTCCCCAATTTCTTTTTCCTTTTCTTTTTCTTTTTCTTTTCTTTTTTTTTTTTTGCACACCGTCTTCTACATTTTGATGGTTCATATTAAAATTGTAGCGCGCCTAATAAATAAACGAACTCTTCTTCTTGGCCAATC